CCTGCCCATCCCAGCCTGGCGCTATCGCTGCCCTGGCTCACCCCGATCTTACCTGGCTCTGCTGCTTCCCTGTCGCACTCCTCAAGGCTCCAACAGCCTCCAGGCACTGGCAGACCCCACCTGCCACTGCCAGCAGTTCAACTGACAGTGTGCCCCAACCGACCCTGGCACCAGCCCAACGGGCACCAGCCCAACCGCAGGGCTGCCCTTCCCCTGCACAGCCCACTGCCCCATCCCTCAGCCAGGGCTCATTGCCCACCCTGGCCGGACCCTGGCTGCAGAGCCAAAGGCTGCAGCGCCAAAGGCTGCCCCATCCGAGGCACAGGATGGGCAGGGGCTGCAGCAGGGAATGCTCTGGCAGATCCCCCCATGGCACAAGGGTGTCTGACTGGACAACGCCTCCAGGCTGATGGCACCAACACAGCTGGCACAGGCTTGGCACTCCCAGCCTGGCTTTGATCCCACTCACAGCTGGCACCAGCCGGGCATGCAGCCCCCAGCCCGGTGCAGAACACGGTACCCGAGGGTACCCCCTGTCCCCACTGTGCCAGGTCCTCCACAGTGCCCTGAACGCCTCTGCCCAGCCAAGCCTGGTGCCCGCAGCAGCTGCAGCACCAAGAGCTGCCCCGGCCCGGAACAGAGCAGAGCTCACTGCCCTGTGCTCTGCACTGAGGCACCCAGGCACTGCCCTGGTGCCCAGGGCAGCTGGTGAGGCTCAGGGCTCACAAACAGCCCCAGCACACCACAGCCTCGGGCTGGGAGGAGCGTGAGCCCAGGCCAGGGCTGGGCACAGGGCAAGGGCTGACAGTGGCAGCGGACTGCTGCCCACCCCGAGCTGCACAGAGCACAGGAGGCCAAGGGAAGCGTGGTGCAAGTATTTATTTGTTGCTGATCTTCAGCACTAGTTTACAAGGCCATGGCAAATTAAAAAAAAAAAAAGAAAAAAAAGGTTAGAATAAAAAATCCTGCCCACCCGCCCCACTCCTGTGAGGCCTCTGCACTGAACCACCCACATACAAAATAATCTACAAGGAGAAAACTATACAGGAGTATTTACACCTCTGATAAATAGACTAATACTGATCCAGGTGCCTCCAGACCGCGCGTGGGGATGGGGACAGGACAAGACACAGGCGATTGTGAGGCAGAGAGAGAGCTGGGGCCACAGCCAGCCCCCAGCAGCAGCCATCCCGAGGGCAGGCTCCACCAGGGCACCATGCCACCCTGGCACACGGCCATGGCACAGGGATGTGCTCGGGCAATGCCACCAAGTGCTGCCACATCCCAGCCACGGCTCCCACAGCTGGGTGAGGGCACATCCCTGCCCTGCGTGGCACCACTGCTCGCCACCAGCCCCTGCCCTTCGTCCCTCCTGTGTCTGGGGACCACTCCAGTGCAGGGGTGGCTGGGAGGGCCCAAGGCAGCAGCGTGGGGACGCCCAGGACAGACCCAGGCCCGCTACAACGAGGGCCAGGAGCTGTATCTCTGCAGGGCTGACACCTGCACCCCAGCACCTGTGGCACCCCAAAACCGCCAGCTGCTCACCCTCCTGCCCAACACCCCAAGAGCGTCTGAGCACGGGGGCTGGGGGCCCAGTGCCCGTGGCCATGGCTTGCTGGGGGTCAGAGGCAGGGAGGTGCCCGTGGTGCTCAGGCCAGGGCTCCCAGGGGGGCTGTGTTCCCACCTGAGCCTCTGAGGATGCTGTCAGGTGATGAGGCAGTGATGGGGGCAGAGTCACTGAGATGCCCTTCCCTCCCCCCGCAGTAAGAAATGGCTAAGCTGAAGCTGGGCCCTGGGCCTCAAGGGCCAGCGTGCAGCGTGGCCCCCACCCCACATGCCCCCAGGACAGGGGAACACTTGGGCTGGCCTCGCAGGGCCAGTCTGGCTGCTAGTGCCGCTTGGTGGACGAGACCTTCTTCTTCCTGGCAGCCAGCATCTCGTAGAAGGGGTCCCGGCTGATGGCGGCCCTGGCGGGGAACAAGGGCTGGGTCAGGCCAAGCTGTGGCAGGGATGGGTGCCACCCGCCCGGCCTGGCCCTGGGCAGGCCCCTCTGTGTCCCTGGGGAAGCTTTCCTCCCCCATCCCTGCAGGACACCCTGGGAAGCACCGTCCCCTTTAGGACAGCGGGCAGGCCCCTGCTGTGCCCCCCACACACTCCTCCAAGCACTCACTTGATGCACTTGATCCACTCCTCCTTCTCCTCGGGCGTGGGGGCAGAGATGCGATACACGGTGTGGTTCCCCTCCACCACGCGCCCATCTGCCTCTGTCTTGCAGGCCTTGATCACCTGGTCCTTGTTGTCAGGGATGTAGAGCTCAAAGCAGTTCTGGGAGGGAGAGAGCGCTCAGACACAGCCCCCATTTCCAAAGGGGAGCCCAGACTGGGAGGGACAAAGCAGAGCCACACACCTGGCACAGCCACCCCAGCATGGCACAGAGGGACAGACACACCGTGATTGTCACCCCCTGGCCCTGCATGTGCCCCTGTGGCGACCAGCCCCGCTTTGATGAAGGCAGTGACCACTCTGGGGCCCCCTGCCCCTCCTGGGGACATCTCAGGGTGCTGCAACACCTCCCAGCTTCTCCGTCCAAGCCAAAGCTGACCCCAAAGCCCAGAGGACACTCCCACAGCACTCACGGGCTTCTTTGAGTCCTCCACCTCACGGATGCTCAGGTTCTCCAGGGGGATGATGCCACGGGGCTCCTTGTCCTGCAGCCAAGCAGATGTTGAGCTGTGGGATGGGACACCCCCGGCGCAGCCCCTTCCCTGCCCCAGCCCAGCTCACCCTGCAGGACACAACTCACCGTTGTGTACTCGAAGTAGTAAAGGCAGTTGTCCGTCAGGATGAACCAGCGCCGCTTCCACGTCTTCACCCTGCCTCCTGGGAGCAGAGAGGGCCAGTCGGGCACAGCCCTGCGAGCAGGGCCGGGCACACGGCACCGGGCCGGGCACACATGGCAGCTCGGGCACACGGCATCTTGGAGCCAGCCAGGCACACGGAGCCCCGGCGGACACACAGAGCCAAGCAGAGGCAGGCAGCGGTGGGCAGCAGCAGCAGCAGGCAGTGCACACCGCACCCACCCGAGCAGGAAGCGCACGGATGAGGATGGAGGCGAGGGCGGCAGCGCTCCCACCCAAACACACACCAGCACAGCCAGAGGAAACTGCGGCCAGGCAGCTCCCTGGGAGGACGCGGGGCTTTCTGTCCACACTGGCCACGGTCCTGCTCATCCTGGACCTCGGGTAAGGCAGACCCAAGGCCGTGGCCGAGCTCCACAGCTGCCAGCACAGCGAGAAGCCGCCCTGCTCCCCCACCCGGCCCAGCTCCCCTCCAGTGCAGCCATTGCAGCAGCGCTGAATGCAGGATGAGCACCCACCCCTGCAGGATCCAGCATGGACACCAGGAGCCACAGTGCACACTGGGGGTCCTGCTCATCTCCTTCCCTGCCAGGAAGGCGCTGTGGCCCCTGCTGCCCTGTGCCAGCTGGCAGCCCACCCCTGGCCTGCCCCAGAGCAGTTCTGAGGGCCAGCACCAGTGCTCCCCGACAGCTTGGGTGCAGGCATTGGAGCAGTGCTGGTGCCTCACGGGGACTGCTGTGAGCCCTTAGCACAGGGCAGCACGCAGATCGATCCCATCCAGCTCCAGCCACTTGGCACGCCCTAACCACCCGTGCACAGGCTGGGGCCCCTTCCCAGGACACCCCAAACCTGCGCCCATCCCTTGTGTCACCGGAGGCAAGGACCCACTGGCCAGGCTGAGCTGTCTGTGGACATGGTGGTGCACAGCTGGGCGGATGGCAAGGTGCCACCGCAGCCCTGTCCTCCCCCGGCTGGCAGAGGAGGCCACAGGCCTTGGGGAATGCATGGCATGGGCAGGCTGGCACCCCACGTCCCTGCCTGGAGGTGGAGAGGGGCTGTCCTGCAGCAGGCGAGGTCCCCGGGTGTGTGGGGTTAGCAGCAACAGCAGCAGCAATGAGACTCATCACCAGCAATTAAAAACGCAAAGGAAACGAAGCCCCAGCAGTGTGAGCAGAGCAGGGAAGAGGGGTACGTACCTCCTGGAGTTGGGGGCAAGGAAAGGAAGAGCCAAAATCATGGAAACATATAAATGAGGGAGAAAAGAAAATTAAAAAAAAAAAAGGAAAAAAAATAAAAAGAGGAACCCCAAAGCCCCCCCTTGCCCTGCGGGTCAGTGGGGCCGGGCTGCAGCAGGGAAGCTGTGAGGGGTTGGGCCAGCGGCAGGGCTGTGGGGGCTTGACTGCCCTGGCTCACTGTGGCTCTGTGGGATGGGGCTCCTTGGCTGCTGGGGACAGGGCCTGGCTCCCTCCACCCCCTGGCTGAGCAGCAGGGTCCTTCCCTGCCCCCCAGGGCAGCTGGGGTCCACAGCCACTCTCTGTCACCCCATCGGTGGTGCCAACCTGAGCCTGGGTGCGCAGGGCCCCTCCAGTCAGGGACAGGAGAGCCTGGGCTGTCCTGTGCGCCCCCAGCCCAGGGCAGGGAGCAGGCAGCTCTCGCCGTCCCCTCCCAAGGGCTGGCCACGAATCAGGAGTTCTGACCCCAGGCAGAACCCTGGGGAAACGCCCCACCGGACCCCGATCCTGCCAACGCCCATTCCCCCACCAAACCCGGGCAGAGGATCCCCCAGAGGTGCCAAGAGAAGCCACAGGAGCCAGGGCGCGGAGGCTCCGGCTGGGAGCAGGGTGCAGCAGGGATGCCATGCATGCTGCCTGCATGTGGAGCCGGGATGCGAGGTGGTAATGCCGTGGGAGGGTGAGGCAGGGCTGGTCTGTGGTATGGAGGGGACGCACGCAGCCTGGGGCAGCTCGCCGCTTGCTCCCGGGGGCCTGCTCCACATCCTGCTGTGACTCGGTCACCTGAGGGCCTCGAGGTCTCTGTGCTCTGACACCAGACCTGGTACCAGCTCTGTGCCCCGGGGCTTGCCCAGCCTAGAGGCAGAATCCCCCAGGACACCCGCCCAGCCACTCTGAGTCTGCTCCTGCTGCCCAGCCAAGGGAAGATGGAGGGCTGGATGTACTGCCCTTCCCATGAAGGCTGTGCCTGTCTCTGTAGCCTCCTCATGCTCCAAAGAGCCAGGCCCAGGGGCATTGCACCCTGGAGACAGCCTGCCCTCCCTTGCTGCTGGCACTCACCGAGCTTCAGGAGCCAGCCCTCCCGGTCGGGGTTGAAGAAGGTGTGGGTGAGGTCATTGCCGTCATCCTCAGGGATTTTGAAGGGCTCATTCTTGATGCTCTCGTACAGGTTCTGGTACAATGACATGGAATCAGCTCTGCTTTGCCCTGCAGCCCCGTGCTGGGCCCTGCTCCGGGCCAGCTTTGCAGCCTGGCCTGGCCCTCACCTGGAGCAGCTCCTCAGGCAGGTCCCCCCCATCATTGATGCCGCGGTTCATGGCGATGAATCGCTCCGCCGTGGGCTTGTCCTTCACGTTGGGATTGTGCAGGCTCGTGTTCAGCATGATGATGGCAAAGGACAGCACGTAGCAGGTGTCTGCAGGGGCAGAGGGGAAAGTCAGCTGTGGGGCAGGACGATACCAGGGGCTGGTATCTGTCTGGGGCAGGTGCCCACCTGTGGACTGGAAGACACCGGGGTTGCACTGGCAGTACCGCTGGGCAAAGGCCTCCATCATCCGGTCAATCTTCTGGGCCTCCCCTGGCAGCCGGAAGCTCCACAGGAACTGCCTGTGGAGAGCCAGCTGTGCTGCTGCTCTGGGGGCTCCAGGGTCCCCAGCACCCGCCCTGGGCCACGCTCAGCTCACAGCCCCTTACTCACCGCAGCGCCTGCACAAGGTTGAGGTCAGTGAATTCATGCAGCTCCACGAAGGCATGCAGGACTTGGATGTTGAACTCATCCCTGTGGGAATAAAGCCAGAGCACGAGGGATGCATGATCAGCAATCCTGTGACTGCTGAGTGCCTCCACTGTCCCTGCCCTTCTCCAGAGTCTACTCCTGCATGGGGGAAAGCTGCTTGATCTCTGGTGTGCTCTGCACAAATCACCACTTGCAAGAGCCAGCCATGAACCGAATACCCCCAGCACCCCGAGTACCCCCAGTGAGCTGCCCTGCGAGCTCAGAGCTGCAGTGCCCCCTCTCTCAGGTGGCAGGAGCCCACAGCCCCCCCAGGAAAGCCAAGCCCAGCGCACCTCTCGCCCAGGTAGTCGCCGATGGCTGTCTTGTTGAGGCCCTCTCCCTTGTACAGGAACTGCGCAATGTCCTCACACGTGTTCTTCAGCAGGTCGTTCTCAATCAGGAACTGGATGCCCTGGAGGGGTGCAAGAGAGGTGCTTGGGGGTCTGTGGCTGCCCCCACCAGCCCCGGCAACCTGGACTGGGAGGTGGCAGAGCCCTGCACACCCCCAGAGGTGGGTAACCAGCCCTGCTCCCCATCTCACAGTACCTTCTTGGGATCCATGTTGAACTTCTTCCTGCCCATGGCCACCTGCTTGTTCCTCTGCATGTTTTTCCTGCAAGGCATGAAGCAGCTCTGAGCACCCGTCAGGGCCCCACTGGGGCAGTGCACGGTGGGGAGGGTCAGCCTGGATTGAGGGGACCCAGGCCCCCATGCTGGGCCCATGGGGGACAAAGCCAACACACTGCTCCGTGTCTGCCCCACACCATGGCTGCTCTTGGCCTGCCAGGCCCCAGAACAGAGCAGAGCTGCCACCCTTGGGGTGTCCCTGGGGTCCCCTGAGCAGAAGGTGCAGGCACAGCACCTGTCAGCTCACCCAGACACGGGCAGGCTTGGGCAGGCTGGCTGTGGCAGGGCTCTGGGGAGAGCAGGGGGGCCGGCAGAAGGGGACAGTCCTCATGCCCCAGTGGGTAACTGGGAACGATGCTGGGAGTCAGCTCCCACCCTGATCCCAGCTGGCACCAGCTCAGAATAACAAAGCTCGCCAGTGGCTGCGGCCAGACAGAGGGGCTGGGCTTGGAAAAACAGACCTGGGAGCAGCAGATCATCCTGGAATCCTGCTCCCAGGAGCTCAGGGCGCCTGGGAAAGCTGCTCACAGCAGCACCCGTGGGCTCAGCTGCCCTCGGGGGCACCATGGGGCTGGACTCACCTCTCCTCCGTGGAGCCCAGGTTCTCGATCTCATTCGTCACTTCTGCTATCTCATCCTTGAGGCGCTGTGGGGAGAGGGGGCGCTGAGACAAGGAGGTGCCTCCCCCAAAACCCCCCAGCCCTGGAGACAGCCCCACTCCCCCACAGCCCCTCCTTCCCTCCCTCCCTGCTCCCCCCACCCCAAGCGCTGCCCAGGGGCTGAACCAGCTCAGAGGGCACCGGCAGTGGGGCTGCCTGCCCCCCACTGCTAATCCCTGCTGCACTGCCACGCTCCCAGCATGCAGGAAGGAAGAGATTCAGAGGTTAACAAAATTACCCCTAATCCCTTCAGATCATGCCCAGCATATGGCAGTAATTAGCCTCTGCTGCCTTAATCGGGGACACGACTGACAGTGTCCCAGATGAGCCCCGACCTCACAGGCTCTTGCCAGGGCAGTGGCCTGGCCCAGATACGTGGTCCCTGCCCGTGCCAGGCAGGGGCTGGCACAGACTGGCACAACCGCACAGCCTGGAGCTCTGCAGGGGACAGGAGAAGGCATGGCTGCTTTGGCAGGGCAGGGACAGCTGGCTGCCACCCGGGACCCCATTCCAGCTGGGACCCTGTCCCCAGAGCCCCCCAGAGGAAGAGCTGTGGGGCAGCAGCACGAGGGGTCCTGGATGGGGCTCCAGGGACCGTGCCAGCCAGGCTGCTGTCCTTGGCCAGGGGAGCGTGTGGGTCCCTGGGTGTTGTACCTGTATGTCAGCCAGCAGCTCCTGCTTTCGGCGGCGGATGTTCTCCAGCTCCTGGCACTCCTCTGGTGTCAGGTCACTGGGCACTGAGCAGAGACACGACAGGTCAGCACGTGTGCTCCTGGCAATCAGGCCTGCCAGGCTCCTGGCACAGGCTCTGCTCCCAGCCAGCAGCTGTGGGCCTGGCTGCAGGCAGGACGAGGAGGTGCTGGGAGGCAGGAGGAGCTGGGCTGGCGAGCAGTGTCCCCAGCCCCACACAGAGGCCAAGTGGCACCAATGGCATGAAAGGAATTCGAGGGCAAGGGCATCTGCTCCTTCAGACTGTGGCAGCTGCAGAGTGAGAACCAACACAGGCCCCCGCATCACCTCCAGCACTGCTCTGCCAGCCCTGCTGCCCCCCAGTGCCATTTCCCTCTGCTCTGCCCCAGCCGCGCTGGTGTGGGTGCCCATTCTGCTCCCCACAGCCAGGCAGCTCTGCTGTGCCCTGCAGCACAGCTCCATACCGACCTGCAGCCTGCAGGCTGCTCTGCTGCACCAGGTCAGCCCCAAACACCAACCAGCTCCTGGCAGCTCCCTCTGCAGTGGATTCATTGTTCTGGGGCAGAGCCTGGAGCTGGTGCAGCCTCCAGACAGACCCCACCTGCACACCATGACATCTACACCTTCCTGTCACCCTGGGGAGCCAGGCACCCCCTCTCCAACACCATCGCCCAGGGCCACCACATGGTCCCCGTGCTCCGGGAACATTCCTAGTGCTCCTTGGCGTGTGACCTCCTTGCTTCACGGTGACAAGGTTCCCATTCCTGTTCCCTCCAGTCCCCAAGGTCACTGCCTCCCTCAAGAGTGCTCCCAGCCCTCCTACTGTGCTCCTGTCTCCCACCTGGTTCTGCGCGTTGCACCAAGGTCACCTGCAAGGACACCCAACACCTTCCCTCCAGTGTTGTCCCCAAGGGAGGTGGCAGCAGGATCTGCCAGCTCAGCTCTTGTGCCACCCCCACCTGCCGCCCTGGGGTGCTGGGAACAGGCGTCTGTAGGGCTGTCCCCACCCTCCCTGCCCCAAGCGGGACCCCCTGACCCGCGAGGTCCCGTGTGCCACCACTGCCACCAGCCCAGACTCACCAGGGTCCCCAGCGCAGCCACTGCCCCGCGCCAGGGCCCAAAGACCCCGTGTGCCTCTGGACCAGCCCTGTCCTCAGCTGTGCACCGATTCCCCTGCACCGCCTCAGTGGGAGCTCGCCGGGTGACCCTGCACCCTGAATCTCTGAGCTCAGCACTTCCCCGCTCTGCCCCGGCCCTGATCAGCTTCCTCCTTCACAGCCCCCTCCTGTTGCCAAGGCTGAGGCGCCTCGGCTTGCGACACCGGCCCTCAGACACGCCAACACTTCCCAATACTTGCAGTCTCCATGTCGGGGAGCCTGAGCCAGACAGGCCGGCTGGTGGCACCAGGTTAAAAGTCACCTACGGTACCAGAGCTGTGTGGATGCATCCCAGCACCTCCCGCCCGCCCCATTCTCAGCATTCCCACCGGCACCAGCCCCCACTGCCAGAGGGATGAGCCGTGTCACACCCGCTCATCAGACACAGAAATCCCCAAACCCTGGGCTCTGCCTGTGCCACAGGACCTCCTGCCCAGCTGCAGGACCCTCTTGTCCAACCGCCAGACCCCCAGCCCGTAGGGAAAGCCAAATTCATGCCAGGCCTCAGGCAAGCCCTCAGCTCTGCCTCTTCCTGCCCACCTGGGAGAGGACAGGGGTTCCAGCCGGGGTCCCGGCGGCCCCGGGACAGGCGTGGGGCAGACGAGACGCTGCAGGGCAGCAGGACAGGGCGGCAGGGCTGCTCCAGAGCCCCGGAAGGTCCCTCCCCGGCGGAGGCTGAGCACTCGTGACAAGCAGCCCAGCCATGTCAGCAGCAGCCAGAGGAAGAGAAACCCCAGACGCAGGAGCTTTTCTGGGGAAGGAAGGCGGCATTAACCCTTCCCTGGCTCTGCACAGCAACTGCCCTGGAGAGCCCCAGCGAGCCTGGCCGCAGGCAGAGCGGTGCCGGGGGACGGGAGGCTGGAACACGCACTGGCACAGAGATTGCACAGGCACCCACCA